TTTGCTAGCAGAATTTTACTGATACTTTTTGTATCTATATTCATAAGGGATATTGGTGTGCAGTGTTCTTTTTTTGTTGTGCCCTTTCTTGGCTTTAATATCAAGGTGATATTGGCTTTGTAGAATGAATTGGGGAGGATTCCCTCCTTCTTGATATTCTGAAGTAATTTCTGCATTATAGGTACCAATTCCTCTTTGTAGATCTGGTAAAATTCAGCTGTGAAACCATCTCGTCTAGAACTTTTTTTGTGGGATGGTTTTTTTATTGATGCCTCAATTTTGTTGATTTACATTGGTCTGTTTAGGAGTTCTATTTCTTCCTGATTAAGCCTAGGGAGGATGTGTGTTTCCAAGTATTTGTTCATTTCCTCAACATTTTCCAGTTTATATGCACAGAGGTTTTTATAATATTCAAAAATGACATTTTGTATTTCTGTGGTATCAGTTGTAATATTTCCTTTTTTTTTTCTGATTGAGCTTATTAGAGTCCTTTCTTTTCTGTTCTTGGTTAATCTAGCAAAAGGGCTATCAATTTCTTTTGATCTTTTAATTTTTTATTTAAGAATATTAGGAGGTGTAAATATTTTGTTTACATACTTTTTCATACAGACTGAGTCAAAGTTATAAGTTTGCCCCTTTACTTGACCCCATAATCATTTAGCAGTAGGTTGCTTAATTTCCATGACTCTGTGTAGAATTGAGTGTTTCTATTGGAGTTGATTTCTAATTTTATTCTACTGTGGTGTGAGAAGATGTATGGTATAATTTCTATTTTTGAATTTGTTGAGACCTGTTTTGTGGCCTAAGATGTGATCAGTCTTAGGGAATGTTCTGTGAATAATCTATAGATTCAATGTAATCCCTATTAAAATACCAACATCAATTTTTGCAGATCTAGGAAAGATAATTCTGTACTTCATATGGAACCAGAAAAAAGCCTGAATAGCCAAAGCAACCATCAACAAAAAGGACAAATCAGGAGGCAACATTATACTAGACTTCAAGCTATACTACATGGCTATAGTGACACAACAGCATAGTACTGGCACAAGAATAAAGACATACATAGACCAATGGATCAGAACAGAATACTCCAGAACAGAATACTCAGACATAAAATTATCATATTTCTGTCTGATCATTGACAAAACAAATAATAACATATGCTGGGGAAAAGAATCTCTATTCAATAAATGGTGCTGCTAAAATTGGATAGCCACATGTAAATGACTGAAACAGGATTCGTACCTCTCACCACTCATGAAAATTAATTCATGATGAGTAAAAGACTTAAACCTAACATGGGAGGAAGCAGGAGGGGAGGGGAAAATTTACACCTAATGGGTACAATGCACAAGACGATGGTCACACTTATAACTCTGACTAAATGTAATTCACGTAAGCACAACCTATGTAGCCCCATAATATTCTGAAGTTAAAAAAAAAAGATGGTGGCAAATCATCAGGACAAGAGGGGAACATCGTGACAGGGTAACCTAGTGAATACTTTTGCAAGCTGAGTACAAAGAACTAATAGATGATTCTTTGTATTCAGATGGAGAAATTAAGATGGAGGGAAGAAGGGGAATGACTGGGGCAGACCCTTCAAGCCCAGAGAAGGAGCATGGACAAGAGACACACACCATCTCCTCTGAGCCAGGAGGGATGGAAGTGAGCTGGAGAGAACAGGTGAATTTGAAAGCCAGGATTGGGGAAAAGTTATTTGCTCACACGTGGTTATAAGCTGAGTTATAATTTTAACAAGTCGTGTGAGATCTTGCCTAAGTGGTGATAATAAATAATTGACTCAGAAGCAAAATCCTCCCTTTCCTCACAGGGAACTTAATTCATTAACAGGATGAACAGACTCATCTCTAGGGAAAGTCTGAGATCCTGAGAAAATCATGTAGAGTCAATTTCTCCCCCTCTAATAATCTATGTAGATAAAAAAAAAAAAATGAACATGGAGGGAATACCTGAAGAGAAAAATGAGATCTATAAAGGGCTGAAATGTACTTTACAATTACATAATACTCAGTGGCTTTTATGTTCCGTGTTCCATGCCAGCCCCCACTCCTGTGCTCCTGTTTTTCCTTCTGCCTCCTACGCTGTCCTCACCACCTCCTCCTTACCTTATCTCCTTAGTCTGGGGCTCATCTACCCCATTTCTTCATTGATACCAGGGGGACACTTTTTTTTTTGGAGACAGAGTCTTATTATGTCACCCTTGGTAGATTGCAGGGGTGTCACAACTCACAGCAACCTCCAACTCTTGGGCATAAGTGATTCTCTTGCCTCAGCCTGCCAAGTAGCTGGGACTACAGGCTACTTAGTAGCTTATTAGAGTCCTTTTTTTTTTTTTTTTTTTTTTTGCAGTTGTCATTGTTGGTTAGCTGGCCTGGGCTGGGCTTGAACCTGACAGACTCAGAGCATGTGGCTGGCACCATAACCACTGTACTACGGGCGCTGAGCTGTGCTGCCCATTTCCATCTATTGTGCATAACAATTATTAGTGTATATATTTTATCTATCCCATTTAATGTTTTTGTTTCTAACATGAGGAATGTCTCCTAATTTCTGTGTATTTTCCATGATCCCTTGCAATTAGTGAGCACTGAAATGAAAAAACATTTACTAAATCAATATAATGATTCTTGTTTTGTTTTGCTTTTTTTGAGACAGGGTCTTGCTCTTTCATCCAGGCTAAAGTGCAGTGGCATTGTCAGGACTACAGGTATGTGCCACCATGTCTGGCTAATTTTTTTGATAGTGATGGGATCTTGTTCTTGCTTGGGCTGGTCTTGAAATTCCTGGCCTCAAGCAATCCTCCTGCCTTAGCCTCCCGGAGTTCTGGGATTACAGGCGTGAGCCACTGTGTTTAGCCAATGATTCCCTTTTTACGGCCGACAGAACAAACCTATGTGACGTGACATATTAGAACTTGTAAGTGTAGGATTTAGAACTTAGGTCTTGGGCTCCCTAAGCTTGTGCTGTTTCCCTATACTATTTGCCTGTCTAAAAACTTCTAAGTATTGTCTAAAGGGGTACTTGAGGGGGGACGGTGAAATAGGTTCTAATATAGAGAGAGTCGGATGACCCAGGCATATGCCAGCTGAGTCACCTTTTTTCTTTCCTAGAAGCCATTTGTGATGTCATTTGCCTGTGTCACAGCCTACCTTCCCTAGTCACTCTCCTGATGTGGGCATCATACTCAAATGTGCCTAAACTAGAGCTCCAGCTGTTTCTTACAAACTTCTCTAATGGTGAATAAATACACAGAGATAGCTAGTGGCCTTTACTAAAACAATATTTTATATTGTAAGCACAGTTATCTGATATTTTTTTGGGGGAAAATATTTTATATTGTAAGCACAGTTATCTGATATTTTTTTGGGGGGGGGCAGTTTTTGGCCTGGAGCCAGGTTTGACCCACCACCTCTGGTATATTGGGCCAGTGCCCTACTCCTTTGAGCCACAGGTGCTGCCCAGTTATCTCATTTTTAAACAAATTCATATCATATATTCCCTTGCTTTTGTTATGTATTTTGCATATTCAAATTTCAAAAGTTAAGAGTGTACACATTTGTGAAGAAGGATCAAATAAAATGCTTATTTTCTTGCTAGCTGTATATACATCTTTTTTCTTTTTTTCTTTTTTGTGACAGAAAATGTATTTGTAATGAAAAAATCCATGGTATGTAATAATTATTCCCAGACTGGCACCAAACAAAATTGTGTCTTATGGTTGTATTTCTCTCTTAGTTTTCACTATACCTACCTTAGATCCTTTTTCCTCTTTGAAATTGGGTTGTTCTTAGCTAGGTGCCAAAGTCTCCCCTTCCTTTCAAATTATATATATCATGATAGGGTCTTACTTTGTCATCCTTGCAAGAGTGCAGTGATGTCTTCCTAACTCACTGCAGCCTCAAAGTCCTGGGCTCAAGTGGTCCTCTTGCTGAATAGCCTCACCACCAAACAAGCTAATTTTTTTTTTTTTAATTTTTCATAGAGATAGGGTCTTGCTCTTGCTCAGACTGGTCTCAAACTCTTGGCTTCAAGCAAACCTCCAGTCTTGGCCTCCCAAAGTACTAGGATTACAGATGTGAGCCACCTCCTCCTACTGCTCCTTTCAAATTAAAAGTAGTAAATTTACCAAAATTATTTTTAGTTGAACAGCATATGACCCCAGAAGAGTGATTGATTACCAGTAGATTTCTTCGCCTGAGTTAAGTGGTGAAGAAAATATTTTTTGCAGGTAATCTGCATGATGTTTAGAAAAGTTACATTGCAATAAGAACCACTATTATGTCTAAAAATGAAGCTCACCCTGGATATATGTTTTATACAAAAAGAAAGAACAAACCTTTGTCATATAAGAGTTTGTGGTATTACAGTGTTAAGATTTAAATTAGGTCACAATATTCTCTTTTCTTCTGCATCAAACATACAGAACATAGTATTTGTCTCCTTTCATGAAAATGTAAAAATTATCTAGTACCATATTTTTTCCCTCTTATCTAATTTCTTGATAGAAATGAAGCTGAAGTCGAAAAAAGAAAAACATTTCTTAGAATTAATATTTACAGTAACTTGTCCTTTTAATCCCCTTCATGTTTATAGTGCTAACTTTAGTAGCCTTTATAGTCAGTTTCTTTTTCACTCTATACTATTTAAAATTTTGTCAGTAGAGTCTGTTTTTGGTCTCACAGATCTTATCTACAAAAGGCCACTAGGATAAAGTGCCTAGAGAACTGACCTGGGGGCTACCAAATTTGTTTCACATTCCCCTGACCCCTTCATTCTCCGCGTTGAATTATCTATGAACACAGAATGACTCCTCATGAACTATCTTTGAGAAGACAAAAATGTTGACAGAAAATGGATCACAATACTACATTGAGATCAGATGCCTCAACTTACTGTAGATGCATGGACATCTTGCAGATGGTATGCCCACGGTTAGCAAACTACCAAGGAGTTCACAGCTCCCAAAGATGTGTGAATGCTTGGAGCAACCAAGTTACGTTTATTTAGTACCTAGCAAAGCAGAAAATAACTCTAGAGACGAGTTATTTCTTCTTTTGAGAAACCGAAAAGGCAAGAAATATAGTTGAAAACAGAGAGACAGATTGTGGTCAGGCTTACAATTGGTCCAGTGAATGGACCATATCTCAGAGTCATGAGCTGTGGTTCTTCAGGAAGACTGGTTGGCCTTGAAAGAAGCCACTGGATGAATTCTTCTAACTTGGTGGCTCTGAGGAAAAATGTCCACTTTCCTCCGTGAACAAAAGTTAGCTTGATCCATGTAGGAAAGTCTGGGTAAATGTAAATATTTGACTTTGCTTTTTTAAACCTTCTCAATGCATTTTGATGGTTATTTTTCTTTGGAGTTTTAATTTGGGGAGAAATTGTTTCTTCCTCAAGATTATCAGTGGGTTTTGAACACTTGGGCACCTTCTCTGGTCTTGCTGAAGGTATTTCAGAGCCTGCAGAAGCTGATGTGTTCTTTAGAGTTTCTGGTTGTATGAGTTTGTGAAGCAATTTCATGATTTCTTTACTTTTTTCTCCCTCTAGAACCCCTAAACAATGTAAGCTGGAGCAAGAATTCTGGTTTTCCAATTCTGTCACCTTCTTTGTTAAAGCTTCCAGGTCTTCCTTCAGAGAAAGAGTACTTTTAGTTGCTGTGGATTGTATGTCTTCATTAACATTCACTCTAGTTTCCAGTACTTCTATCTGCTTCTGATAAATGTCAAATTTTTCCTGGATTTTTGATATTGCACCCACAACATCAGTCATTTGGTTGAGGAGGGTAGCTTGGGCAGTTTTAACATCTTGGAGCATTATTGTAAGACTCATCTCTTCTTCACAACTAATGTCTTGCTCACAGTTATAGGAAGTTATAGTTGGATACAGGTGCTGAACCTTACATTTATGGTAAACATTTTTGAGAGATTTTCTGATCTTGGAGAGATTTGAAGTCCACATTTGCCCAGCAGCAGCTTTTACCCTTTTCGTATGAAATTTATACATCTTTTATGCTGAAACAAGAGCTGAAGTATTGGAAAACATGACTAGATTGACAGGAAGAAACAACAGCAAAATGAAATGGTCTTTCTCTTACTGTTAATATTTGCTAAATGTCTTTCCTGGTAACATCATGGAAGGTCCTATGAGTGGCATCAGTAGCAACAGTAGGTACTCTCAGGTGGTTAGCTTCTTGTAGGACAGCCCAGCTGGAGAACTCTGGAATAATGGCCATCTGCATGAGATCCTGAAGGCAGTCACTGCCCTGATACTGATGTCATAATGACTAGTGACCAAATAGTAGAACATATTTAACTGTAGGCAGTGGTTCTCCAAAGGTGTGGTCATTAGGCTCTTTTTCACTTATAAAACTTGAGAACCACAGAACTTTTGTTCCTGTAGGTTGTACCTATCAATATTCCATATTAGAAATTAAAATGAAGAAAGCCTTCAGATATTTGCTTATTAATTTATTCAAATAAAAACCCACTACATGTTAACATAAATAACATATTTTGTAAGAAAAACAATTATATTTTCCTTTTTTTTTTTTTGAGACAGAGCCTCAAGCTATCCCCTTGGGTAGAGTGCTCTGGCATCACAGCTCACAGCAACCTCCAACTCCTGGGCTCAAGTGAGTCTCCT